CCAAATTAATAAATTTTAAAATTCCTAAACTTCCTAATTCACAAAATTCATTGTTCCCCAATATAAAAATTATAAAATTAGAAATTCCTACTTCTAAATTTCCCAAGTTTCCAATTCCTAAATTTCAAAATTTTCCATATTTCCAAATGACCAAATTACCAAATTTCAAAAGTATTTTTACAAATTCAAATATTTCCTAATTTACAAATTAAAAAATACCAAATTTACAAATAAAAAATTCCATAAATTAATAAATTCTTAAAAATTCCAGATCCTAAACTGTAAATAACAAAATACAATACAAAAAACAAAATACATCAGAAATACAAGAATTATTTCATGCACCATATTTGCAGTAGAATGCAAGGAAGAAATTCGCGCAATTAGATGAAGCAACCGCGGTTTCGAAAAATTCCAAGACCGTCCATTTCACTTTCGATCGGAGCATCCATATTTGTACGGTTGCATAAAGGAATTCCATCAACGATTCTCATTAGTACTGTTTAAAGACGTTTATTGCCGCGTTATTAAATTCCTGTTCCGTCTTGGACGTATCTTAGAGGAACTAATTGACCCAAATAGTTGACGCTGCAAACGCCACTTCATACACGTGCTCGTGCTCCATTCATTCGTACACTTTCTCATTTCTTTTCAACTTCCTGAAAAGACCGTGTTTTCACTTTCCACGAGAAAATGTGTGCGCAAAGCCTTGATGAATAACGTGTCACGTTGGACGGATAATTGAGCAACGTTTCATTGAATTGCTGATACTAAAAACGTGATCCCTTGTCCGACTTTAACTTAAACTTGCTTTTACTTTCGCTCGCGTTTTTTCGCATCGTGTTTGTTTTTAATATTGAATACTATCAGAACGTTCAATGCTCGCGTGAACTCTGGACGAGATATTATTTATCACTTTTTTATTTCAAGATAGATTCATATTGGACAAATTTTTATTGTAAGTTTTAATAAAAATTTTTACATTGAGTATAAAATTAAAGATTCTTGTATTTTTAAAGTAAAATATTTTTTAGTAAATTTTAGGAATATTTGAAGTAAGTTTTAGCAAGTTTCTTAATAAATTTATTTATTAGTTCATTTTTAAAAAACTATTTATTTTAAATGACTTGCCTTTGAAAAAAGTTACTGAGTTACCTATATCATTAATAACTAAAATTTGATAAAAATTGATCACAAGATACATGTGCCTAAATAAATCCTCACCCTCAAAAAAAAGTTCTAAAATAAATTATATTTCTAAATTGCATAATAAATCAAAACCACTGCGACAAAAATTTCCAATGTTTTCACATAATGTACGAAGCCATTCGTCATAGTTCGTAATTTCGTTGGCAAATTATTCAACGCATTAGGGACATCGCAAATCTCCAGGTGAAATATAAATTTATCGATCGAGAAATAAGAATATGCAAGGAAAAGGTGTATACTTAAAGTAGAAATAGAACAGAGACATCGTAGATTTCGCATCAGAATTGAAATTAACCAGCCATTTGTCTTGCGGTTCGGTTTAATCGTGACTAGCCAGGTGATTTATGATTTCCACTTCTCCTTAGCAAACACAGTGGTGGTGGTCAGATGTGGCAGAGCGTGTAAAGCGATTCGGAGTCGAAATCGAGAAGGGTCGGTAAAAAAAATTAGTTGCTGTCTGCCATGAAAAGCGCGGAGATTATGAGGATATCGCGTGATTCGTAGCAAGCATAACAGTTTGAAAACAGTTCCGACGCGAAGCTTTTCATTATCCACGAAACGTAAGACCGCCGAATGTTGCAGTGTCATTTTGATGCAATACCTTTCTAGATATCTGTATCAAATTATAAGATATATCGCGTGAGCGATTAATAGTTCTTTCGTAAATTTCGTTAGTAATTAGGGGCTCGTACTTATGATCTCTGGTGATCGAATGAACCCAGCATGGTTTTTAGTGACTCTACAAAATTAATAACCGGCCATTTTTGTTTTATGTTCGTTTGTCTTATCTTCTTTTGATCAGGACTTTGTGCGAGGATTTTGAAGCTGAGAAGCAATATTTGTCAACATTTTCTTCTTTTAAAATATTCTTTACACAATAATCTAGGTTGCAAAGAGATTTTAAGACTTAACCTTAAAATTTGAGACCTAACCTTAAAATTTCACGTGAAGCGTTTTATAGAAGAAATTCTGTCACGTCACATTTTTCCAAAACGGTCTGTTTATGGACGTGAATACAAAGAATATTTTGGGGAGATACCATGACAGAGTTTCATTTACGACAGCAACTATTTTTCAATAAACTGCTTATGATTAAAATCGCCAAGTTCCCACAAGTCGATTAACAAACAAAAGACAGTGCTACACGAATAAAGATATATCCGTTTACACGTTCTAGATTTTCAATAAAATTTGCCTTCTTATAATGAAATTCTCCAGAGTTCCCACAAATCGTCGATTACCGGACAAAAGACGTAGATATACGAATAAAGATATATCCTTTATCGTTTGCGCGCTCACGTGTTCGCTCTATTCTACGTGCGCGCGTTTACATCAGATATTACTCGGTGCAATTAAAGCGGTGATTAAGAGACACTAAACTGGAACAGTGGAGCACGAGAGGAAAAGAACAAAAAAAAAAGAAACGAGCAATGCTTCCGCAACGTGTGGCGGCGAAACGTGCAAGTCTCAATTTGAAGACGAATCGAATGCAAACACGTTCTAATAACCGTCGCCATGTTTGAGAATCCGCACGAAAATAGTTCCCTCAAAGCTCAATTTCACGTAGGCGTTCTACCTCCAAATAGCTGATCCACTTTCGGATCACGCAGCTGCTAATGCGTTCATGACCACATTCGATGAGCATTCGTTATTGACGTACCGACACGGCTGTTACCAATGTTACTGACAGTTCTGTTAGGTCTCAGAATACATAGCGAGAGGATTAGACCTCGATCCAAGTTTCCATCGATACCGGTTCTAATTCCTGCGGACACTGTGGAGGTTCAAATCAATAGGTTCCGTAGGAGCAATAATACACAGGGAGGTGTCATCCTATCACGTATTTTTAGTTTATTATTATTTACATCTGGTTGGAATCCTTAGTCATGGAATCTAAATGAATAGGTCCACAGCAATAATGACATCAAGGAGTCGTCACATCCCATCAAGTATTCTTAATTTATTATTATTCACATCTGGTTGGAATTCTTAATCATGGAATCTAAATCAATAGGTCCACAGCAATAATGACACCAAGTCGTCACATCCCATCCCATCAAGTATTTTTAATTTATTATTATTCACATCCAGTTGGAATTCTTAATCATGGAATCTAAATCAATAGGTCCGCAGCAATAATGACATCAAGGAGTCGTCATATCCCATCAAGAATTTTTAATTTATTATTATTCACATCTGGTTGGAACCCTTAATCTTATTGTTAGTAGTAGATTACAGTATCATAATACAGTATTGACCAATATTGTAGTACAAGAGGTTTCAATTCATGTCGAGTTGATTTTATTACTTGCTACTTTTGGCCAATATCCATCACATATATCACTCGATTTCATTTCCACCTGAATTTGTATACCCAACAGAAATCAGGAACTGTTTCCCTCAACCTTATTCGTAAAAATACCACCTTTATCTCACGAAACAGGCAACCGAAGATAAACACGAAATAGACAGACTCACTTCGAAACCTCGGATACATAGACACGAGATTATTCACTTCACAACATTCGATACATATAAACAGGCAGTCATCTAGTTTGGAACATCATCACAAATAAGTAGAAAGCTCATATGTTATACAATTATTCGACCTACAGTTCACTTATAAATATTAGGACTTCAAGTGATTGAAGTTTCCCGTGTCGTTTAATCGTCGCTAAATAAGACAGTTCTGTTCCTGTCTCCACCTGCTAGATAAATACTTGGAAACAACATTGTAATGCATTTCGTAATGCGTTCACACGTTCACTTGCACGTCATTCACGATCTTGTTGATGTGTTACCAATCACTTTTGTGAACTGAGAATGTTAAACCGTGGGTTTGTAGGAAGTTTATCAGTTAATTTTATCTGTCACCTATGTATTTGGTTGCTTACTAAAATGTGGAACAGATGTACGACTCAGTAAAATGTTAACGTAATAATATAAAAATGACCATAAACCCATATTGTATACTAACGTATGCATTAAGGTTTGCATGAGGTACTTTAATTTACCTTGTCTGAAATTTTAGTGTCACATAATAAAATCTTGCTCTAGTGTCCACATATTTTGACTATTGATAAAAGATATTGATTACAGTGTCGTTAGACAATTATTTTCATTGCATTTCATTTATATTTTCATTTACTTTTACCTAAATTTTAAGAAACGCCATTTAAAACAGTCATACAGTATCCACATATGCCACAAACCAGAAGTCGAAATAACGCATATTCTTTTCGTGTGCTAAATAGCACAAAGGATATTAATTATAACGTTGTTTCCACTACATTTCATGTATACTTCCATTTACTTTTATCTAAGTTTTAAAAAATGTCACTAAAAACAGTCTTCCCATAGTATCCACATATTACCTACATATTGCCTACATATTTCCGCTAACCAGAAATGACGTTCATTCCTTAAAACAGTGCAAAGGACATTAAATGCAATGTCAGCACACAAGTCTTTTCATTACATTAAACGCATACTTCAATTTACTTTTACCTAAATTTTGAAAAATGTCCCTTAATACAGTGTTCCCCTTGGGTCCACATATGACGTCTACTAAACAGGAATGACGCTCAATAGTACAAAGGATTAATTGCAACGTACACGACAATTTCCAACGAGATAAGCTATCCAACTGCAACGGAAGTTACAGTTGTACGCAGTAAAGAGCCGGAAATTTTTATCGATGGTGGCGGCAAATCGCAAAACCATACCGGGCCTTCGCGTAAATATCCAGTTCAAGGTGATCCACACTTTCGAGCCGTTCGGGCAGGGAAAGTGGTTGGTCTCGGTGGTAGTAATGCCACTGTCAAGAATCCTGCACCGCCTTGTAAAGCAGTTTACTTCGGATCGCGAACCAGATCGAAGCTATAGTCAGTGAATTTCCTGGAGACCCTAACTCTTTGCCGTCGCCGCGAAGGAAATACTATTTTCTTGTGTATTCGTGATGGTACAAATGGTGCGGCTGTTGAGTTTCATTTTGATCCTCGGATCCTTGCAATGTGTCAGGGCTGGGGAGCTCCAGGTCGTTTTTCAGTGGAAATATCTGGACTGGATCTGGCCGAATGTTCAGTTGGCAGGGAAGAATTTTACGTTGGGTAACGCGTTCACACAGGATGTGGATATCGATAGATACGGTCGTGTATTCGTCACTAGTCCTCAGTGGTTGGAGGGAGTACCAATTTCATTGTCTCTGGTCACTCCTTCTATGGGATATGGGGGCCCATTGCTTGTACCGTACCCGGACTGGTCCTGGTTCACGCCGTACAGTTGTGACAGCATTATCTCTGTGTACAGATTGGCGGTAAATATCGTGACGAGTGTCAAATTTTTTATCACGGTTTAACCTTCTCTCTGTGTACGAGTATTTTCACCCTCATGCGGGTTTAAGGATAAACGATTAGTTTGTTGCAATATGGTGGTGTTAGGTGACTCCGGTGAGGGGTAAGTACAGTTTATTGCCAGGATAAATTTTTGGTATTAATTGAAAAAACTGTATATTTGATTCTGTTTGATTGAGTAGTTGAAATGTAGTTTTGTCAATAAATAGCAGTCACTTTGATTGGATACAGTATAACGTTTAATGTATACAAGGGTGTAACTGCACCCCTTGGATTCATTTTTAGGACAAAATTTAAAACAGGCAGTGTTTGAGGAATTTTTTGAATTTTTAGAAAACTTGGCATGAAAGTAAGAATTAATTAAAAGTATTGAAGAGACGTGAGTTCACAATATTGTACACAGAGAGAAGGTTAAATAGTGTCTTTTTAAATAGTTTGGGGTTGTTTAATGAATGTTTGACATGTTGATTACAAATTATCAAATTTGAGCTGTTAATCTTCTAGTACTTGTGTATCTAGTTGACAAAAAAATTCTATAGTCTTTTCGTGTATTTTGCTTTAAAGTTTTACAATTAATAATTGCTAGAAATATTATCTAATAAAATGTAGTTAATTTAAATATGATTCAATGCTAAAATTATATTTATGTTATTTTAAAAGTGTTATATAAAATAATACTTATATTTTTAAAATTGATATTTCAAATTTATTAAATAATTCTGTAAAACAAAAAATGTGATAGTTGAATATTCAAGAAATATTTGTTATTTTAAAATAAAGATTTATTAAAATCCAGTAAATAATTCCGCAGAACAGAAAATGTATTATCAGAGAATTTAATATATTATTTAATTTTGCATTAGCGTGATCAGACGTTATAAAAAGTTATTCTTGTTATAATAAATGAGTCAGTCATAAATAATAATTATTTGTTTGAAAGTATGAAGTTGCGAAAAAATATCTAGCGTTTTAATTCCCATGAGAATGAAGTTATTAGGTCCATTGCAAAATATACGTCTACTATATGTTAATTTTAATTTAGACGAATAATATTACATTTCATTTAGCTCTGATTATCACGTGGATTATTAAATTAATTATCACAGTGAGAATGATGTTAGATATATATTACAGCACGTTATAATTACAATTATTCGGAACACGGAATAAATTTTACGCTCCCTAAGTTGAGTCATTAATGTGCTATAAAAAATACTACAAATTTGATAGTTATCTCATTTATTAAATCAGATTGAACTACCGATGACCTCGATGATAAACATGTTGTACAATTTTAAAACACTGTATATACTTTTCTACATAGTATAAAAATAAATTTCACAGAAATTTAAATGAAACGTATATTTTTAAAATAATTGAATTTTTGAAGAAATCGATTTAAATCTTCATGAATAAATTTTATATTGCAGTGCGACTAATTTTCTTTTTATGAATATGTATGACGGTTGCGGTGCTAATTATTATATATCATAGTCCAGTATATTATAACAAAAATTATGAACCGTGCGAATATTCTATTTATTTTCATAATTAATTTCATGAAGTAATGATATTGTATCAATTTATAAATAATGTCGCTTTTCTACGTAATTTTAATAGATGACAGTTATGCTATTCTGACGATTAATTAAAATTTTATGATTTATTATTTTATATATATTTTAAAATTTTCAAATTCTTTATTATCTCAAGTTCTCAATTTTCTAAATTTTCACAATTTTCACCATTTTCACAATTTTCACAATTTTCACAATTTTCTCCATTTTCACAACTTTTTCCATTTTGTCAATGTTGTCAATTTTCTCAATTTTCTTAATTTTTTTAATTTTCTTCATTTTCTTAGTCTTTTTATTTTTTACAATTTTCTCAATATCCACAATTTTCCATATTTTTCAATTTTTTCATATTCTTATATTTCCCAGACTGTTAAATGTCAAGTCAATCAAATTCCCAGGACTAATCTATTGTACAAATAAAAATCTCCAAAGATTCCCAAACAAGATGTTCACATCTCTTTCACCATCCAGAAACCAACAAGGAACATCATCCCCTCCACCATCATTTTCGCAAAACCAATCACACTCCTCAAAATCCAAACCTAAAAAATACAATAAACGACATTATTCACATCAGGCTCTCCCATCACCCCATTTTTCGATCAAACGAATTCAATCGAACGTCAATCATCGACTCGTTCGATGATCGACGTTAAAAATAAAAATAACGTACGATCACGCTAAGTGGGTAAAAAAAAAGTAAAAGAAAAATCGACTGTCCAGATAGACGAGTGCGATCGTTTGTGGGTGGTGGATACTGGTCGCATCAGCTCAAATGCTGTTTGTCCGACGAAAATATTGATCTTCAATCTAGCGACCGACCGGTTGATCCATAAATACGTGGTGCCGGATGATCAAACGCTGCACGGGAAGGCAGCATTTGTTACGCCGATCGTCGATGTCGGAAAAACGTGTCTTGATACTTATCTATACGTCGCTGATGTTGATCAAAATGGGCTACTGATTTATGACTTGTATCACGATTATTCGTGGCGGGTAAACAACACACCTGGCAATGCTTTCGGCCCGGATGACGATGCCATGAACATCACGATCGCTGGCGAATGGTTCGATTTGACCGATGGCACTCTTGGCATGTCATTGTCGCCGATTGGATTTTTCGAGGAAAGGTATTATTTCTATTTCGAATTTTTATTCTTTTTTATTCTTGTTTTCGGGTGATGTATGGTCGACACTCTTGGCGAATGTGGGGAAAGGAGTTTTACTGGTTGGTGTAGATCTTGTGGGATTGGAAATTTAGAAATTTTGTCAGGTGGAATTTTTGGGAATTGGGGGCTTTGGGGATTTGGGAGTTTGGGAATTTATGGAATTTGGGGAATTTGGGGAATTTGAGGAATTTAGAGAATTCGGAGAATTTGGGGAATTTGGGGAATTTGGGGAATTTGGGGGATTCGGTGGATTTGAGGGATTTGGGGAATCTGAAAAATTTGGGGGTTTTTGAGGATTTCGGGGATCTGGGGAATTTGCGGCTTCTATGGAATTTGGGCAATTTAGGAAATTTGGGCAATTTAGGAAATTTAGGAAATTTAGGAAATTTGGGAAATTTGGGAAATTAGGGGAATTTGAGGAATTTGAGGATTTTAAAAAATTTGAGGAATTTGGGGAATTTTGGGGATTTTGGGGATCTGAGGAGTTTGGGGATTCTAGGGAATTTGAGGAATTTAGAAAATTTTGGAAATTTGGAAAATTTGGGGGATTTGGGGAATTTGGAGAATTTGGAGAATTTCAGAAATCTGAAGAATTTGGGGAATTTAGGGAATATGAGGATTCTGGGGAATTTAGAGAATTTGGGAGATTCAAATTAAGCTAAATTCAAAAACATGTAAGCCAAATCTGAATATTACGATGTCCTGTAATTATTTTCTCTAGAAAACCCCCGAATGCCTAGTAATAATCATTTGTCGATAAATAAACTAGCACCAGAGTAAAAACTTGAATTCCAATAAAATTAAAACCGTAAATCACGAACCCAAAGGGAATTTGGGGAATTTGGGGAATTTGAGGAATTTAGAGAATTCGGAGAATTTGGGGAATTTGGGGAATTTGAGGAATTTAGAGAATTCGGAGAATTTGGGGAATTTGGGGAATTTGAGGAATTTAGAGAATTCGGAGAATTTGGGGAATTTGGGGAATTTGAGGAATTTAGAGAATTCGGAGAATTTGGGGAATTTGGGGAATTTGAGGAATTTAGAGAATTCGGAGAATTTGGGGAATTTGGGGAATTTGAGGAATTTAGAGAATTCGGAGAATTTGGGGAATTTGGGGAATTTGAGGAATTTAGAGAATTCGGAGAATTTGGGGAATTTGGGGAATTTGAGGAATTTAGAGAATTCGGAGAATTTGGGGAATTTGGGGAATTTGAGGAATTTAGAGAATTCGGAGAATTTGGGGAATTTGGGGAATTTGAGGAATTTAGAGAATTCGGAGAATTTGGGGAATTTGGGGAATTTGGGGGATTCGGTGGATTTGAGGGATTTGGGGAATCTGAAAAATTTGGGGGTTTTTGAGGATTTCGGGGATCTGGGGAATTTGCGGCTTCTATGGAATTTGGGCAATTTAGGAAATTTGGGCAATTTAGGAAATTTAGGAAATTTAGGAAATTTGGGAAATTTGGGAAATTAGGGGAATTTGAGGAATTTGAGGATTTTAAAAAATTTGAGGAATTTGGGGAATTTTGGGGATTTTGGGGATCTGAGGAGTTTGGGGATTCTAGGGAATTTGAGGAATTTAGAAAATTTTGGAAATTTGGAAAATTTGGGGGATTTGGGGAATTTGGAGAATTTGGAGAATTTCAGAAATCTGAAGAATTTGGGGAATTTAGGGAATATGAGGATTCTGGGGAATTTAGAGAATTTGGGAGATTCAAATTAAGCTAAATTCAAAAACATGTAAGCCAAATCTGAATATTACGATGTCCTGTAATTATTTTCTCTAGAAAACCCCCGAATGCCTAGTAATAATCATTTGTCGATAAATAAACTAGCACCAGAGTAAAAACTTGAATTCCAATAAAATTAAAACCGTAAATCACGAACCCAAAGAAAAGATTTAACGGCCCGTGATTTTCGATGAACAATGAATCACCAGAAACAGGCGACTGTCAGCATAAATGTTAATCCATGGTCGTGACATTTTGAAACGATAGCAGCGATCGGTAACGATATTTAAATAATTTAGTCACGCTACTCATGATTTTCAGATACCTATACTTCAACTCGTTGGCCAGTTATCGCGAAAAGTTTACGGACACGTACTCTTTAAAGCAAAGCAAACACGCGGAGCCGAAAGTGTACGAGTCGAATTACAAGCGGGCAAGCCAGGCGGGCGTTCAAGCAACGTCACGAAGAGGCGTAATATTTTTTCAATTAGTCCAATTAACGGCGATCGCCTGTTGGAACATCGAGAAGCCATTTACACCGGAGAACGTCGTGATAATTGCCCAAGACGAGGAGACGCTGCAGTACGTGAGTGGCATCAAAGTAATCGCAAACAGCTACGGTGAGGAAGAATTGTGGTTCAACACAAACAGGCTACAGAAGACGATAAATAAAACCCTGAAACCCAGCGAGACAAACTTCCGTTTAATCAGAGGGAAGGTTGATGATATTATCAGAGGGACAAATTGCGAGCCTTCCGGCCTAAGATACAAAACGCCGGATACCACCTTCTGGCACCGGATATGAATCAGATAAATTACGTTATACCAATCAAATTTACCTCAACAGTTCCTCCTTCGTATACTAACGTGAGCGGTAAAAATACACATGGCGCCGTATGGTGATTCTGCCCTCTGCTCAAGTAGCGAATAAGAGTAATTTATGTCTGCCACGTTAACATTCGCATCGTTTCTAATGAATTAATACACGTTTCTAAGCCTTACCATAAATGTTGTTTCTCGTTACACGTGAAGTATCATGTTATTCTTCTTAAACGACGGGGTCGATTAAATGCAAATGAAGCTTTTAGCGCAGCGGCATGTGGTCGGACAGCTTATCTGGAGTCGCTGGACACCGATTTTCTGCTTGGGGATCATTTGTTTGATGTCGGTTATGTGTATTGTTGTAACATTATTTAATTATATCATTACAATAATATTATTGTTTTAACACATTGAATACCACATTAAAAGCAATTGAAAATTTAGTGTTTTAATTTTTAATAAATTTTTAATAAACAAACATTTTCACAATATCTTGTTATATTTATTTTCTATACATCTATGTAATTAATGCGAAAATTTTCTATTAGGAAAGTGAGGAAATTTTTGACGATACACATGTTAGATAAATAACTTAAGGTGTTAGATCAGGAACTTAAATGTCACTCACATGTGGATGACTGTCAACGTGTTAATAGTATTATTGTTGTAATGTCTATTAAGTTTTCTTGCTATGTCTTGTTTAAGTCCACTTTGTTTAAGTCCATTTCAACAGTCATGACGGTTCTGAAGATCATATGATATTACTGAAACATGTATTTGTTATTTTATAAAATTAGAGAGTGGTGCTGATGGTGCTCGTATATTTGCACAGAGCATTTTAATGGCAGTAAAATTGGTTTAAGCTACACAAAATTCGAATGTAATAAATATATGGAAAGTTATAATATAAATTATAAAGAGGTTATTTATTCCTTCTCTAAGTTCTTTATAAGTTGAATTTGCACATAATATTTAGTACTATAGTATTTTAATAAAAGTCAGGTCAGTGCATATTGAGGTTAAAGTTGAGTATTTGAATGTATTTCCTTAATTACATAATTTCTTATGTTAAAGATATATTTATACATGCTTCCATTCACTCATGAAAATTGATGACACAAACATGTGAATCTGATGCTGTTCAGAAAGTATGGTTGAATGAGTAACGTAATCTTTACGATATCCTTTCACAGGCTATTCTAATTTCAGAACAAGAAACGACCATAATTCAACTTTTTATTTGAGGTTGGAGAGAACGTTTTCGTTACGATAATATTGAGGTTAGGTACATAAATTGGCCACTTAACACAACTTCTGAATAAGAAAACATCTTGGATACTTTATTATGTGTCATTACATAGATATTACAACTCTTGAATAAGAAAACATTTTGGATACTTTATTATGTGTAATTGCATAGATGTTACAAGTCAAAATTATACAATCATATACGTTTTACAAATAAAAATTATATAATTATATACATCCTACAAATGAACATTATACAATTATATATATGCTACAAATGAACATTATGCAATTATATACATCCTACAAATAAACATTATACAATTATATACATCCTACAAATAAACATTACATAATTATATAAATCATACAAATTTGCATTATATAATTACATACACCTTACAAGTAAACATCACAACATCGATATTCATTAATACAATTGTTAATCAACTGTTAAAAAACGAATCTACGCGATCTGAAGTCATTTCGATATTGTGTTAAATGAGCAGTCTTTAAGGTACCCATTGCAGGTTCTTGAGAACAAGAATCGGCTCTGTTCTTCAAAGCAAAAAACGATCGACCCCATTCTTTAGAACAAGAAACCATCGATCCAATTCTTCAGAACAAGAAATCGTCGTTTATTCTTTATGTGAAGTAGAATGGACATATAAGCCAGTTTTACGTTCCACACTGTAAGTGTAAAAATTAACAATGTAGCAACTGAACGGTAGAGATTACATCTGCATTGACACATTTGTATTATTGTCCAATCCTAAGTATCCTAATAACACTTCAGTATCTTAACGGTACCTCGTAGCTATTATTTATAAATTATATAAAATCAATAGGGTATCGAACTTGATTCGTTGTATGACTCTCGAATCTTAAATCGACACAGAAGCCATCGATAGCGTTCAAACCGAGGCTTATTACCGATTCCGATGACTTTTTCCGCGAAAAGCCTGTGCGGTAACTATGCAAACACGTTCCGTACAGCGAGTGAGCCACGAGTGGAGGGACTTTCTGCGAGTGACAGGCTAGCGTGTAGCAATTTAGTTTACTGTTTCATTGCTGCTTTTTGAGATGTAACGACCGGGTCTGCCGGTGACAGGGGCGTCACTGGGAAACCAAATGTTTCGATGAGGTCGTTCGCCGGAGACAGAGAGGTGTCGCTCGCGACACAGCCGCAACATTTTTTTTTCCAGCGAAACAAAATCGATACGCTGCCCTTTCCTCGTCGACGAATTCAGGAAGTTTTATCAGCCTTTTGGGTGGCGCAAGGTCGAAGCAACGTGGGTGGACCAGGAAATAGGGGGAGGCTGGTTGAGATAAATGCGCATTCAGGAGGAATTGTTCGCGTTACTGCCGCGGCACCCTTGGGATACCAATAGGGCGCGCAATGCCGGGAAATTCGTGTCACCTACTTCTCTTTCTACGGCGCAGTTCGGCGTGTGACTAATGGCGGCATATTCATGGCACAACCTCGCCTCTCCAGCACCCCTCAACACTACCCTGAACCTCACACCCGAATACGAAGCTCTGGCAGTTAACCTCAGACAACCCCTTCGTCGCGATAATATACGGCCGCCCTTAAATTTTCGTTCCCCTTCGATGCCGCCATCGGCCTACTGCACGTATGCTGGGAAACCTTTTCCCTACTAATTCGAATTGATGCCTTTTCGAAAGGGCACACGGTCCGTGAAAACTTTCCAACAACTTCTTCGCTGATCTCGTTAAGAACGCCGTCAGAAATGGGCTAATAGGGTGCAATGGGAAACGTTTGTATACTTGATAGTCTGCAATTAACCAACTTCTGAATTTTTGTGCTACTGAGTCTTTACATTTTTTCTGCTTTAAATTGGTTAACTTCCAAGTTTGCACTTAGTTAGTTCGATCTTTTAATTTTTACACTTTGACATTTTTTAAATTCGATACCTTTGTATTTGGAAATTTTTAAACCTTCAGGTTTGATAAATTTTTTAATATCCGTGTACTTAGCTCTCTATGTATACAAATTCTCAAATTTCTTCGTACATGAATTTTTATATTTTCTATATTTTAGAAATTTCTATTGTATTCCTTAATTTCTAAATTTTTTAACTTCCAAATGGAATATAGATATAAGGAATTATTTTCTACTGTTTTTAATAAGGTTTTGAACCATAAGTTATTAACTGAAATTATAAACTTAAATATGTTGACATGTACTCATAACGTAAACATAAACAGAATTTATAATTCATCTTTAAATTGTAAGATAAAAGAAAAAGAAATAAATTCTTCAACTATCGTCTTAAAATTTAGGTTATGCTCAACTTCATCCATACATGTAATGTGAGAAATAAAAGTGACATAACTTTTAATATAATTTAGCTCGACCAGTGCTATTTTATCTACTCCCTTTATTTCCAACATAAATTATATTTGTTCAGTTGCTTTCATAAAGTATATAAATGAAACTATAATTTCGTTGATTTTTAATGACGGTGATGGTGTTTCTTAAGTGGCGCCACTCTTCGGTTACGTCTGAAACTTTTCTAATCCCAACCTAACTCAAAGCCTTTTCATATTTTATGTACAATATTCCAAACAAAATGACATTTTCTTCGTCAGAACATAAAGAGCAAATAAACAAAATTATGCCGTCATTGTCCACAAATATCCAACCATGACCTAACCATTCCTAAAGCATTTCATCACATTTTATGCACCATAGTCCTGTAACGTATACTCTCCGTCAGAACATAAAGAACAAGTATACAAAATTACACCTTCATTGCTCATTCTATCAACACACAAATATTCTAAATATGGCGTAAAAATGTAACGTCAATGATCAGATTCACGATCGAACCGGCTAAGGGCGCGGAATTACTTAAAGAATTGATAGGCGTTGCGGTAAAGTCTCGGGTCGTGGTCTGAAATCGTTTTATGGTAGTTTTAAAACGACTTTACGAGAGCAGCGAGGAATTTCGAAATAAATTTGCATCAGTTTTACTACCCCTAATATACATAACTACCGGTGTTTGGCACTGATACCTCGGCGCGTAACGTTGCGGTCAGTTAGCGAGAGTTTTGTAGTACAAGGCCAAACCGGGGTAGAAAAGATGCGCTCTTTACGAGCGGCACGAAGAAGCCCGATTGTATACCTTTTGGAGAAACTTGATCGGGATTGCAGGAGAAGGGTTCACACGAAGCCGTGGAGCGATCACGCGTTCGTTGCATGAAACTTTCATCACGGTAATTACCCAAGGTGAGGTCCGTAAGGAACGTTTCCCAATTAGGGAAAAAAGGGCCGGAAGAAAAGCGGCGGTGGCCGTTAAACGTATCGTACTTTCCCCGGAATGAAATTTTAAAGTTTAATCGAGGAAATTAATCGTACACACTTCTTTCCGCCCGGAATTACCGGGTTTTTTCCTGCGAATTCCAGCATGTCCGAGGCGGCCATTGCGCCGAGGGCGGCCTCGCACGGTCCTCGGACGAACGACCGGTATCCGATTCGAAGGAATTCGTGGCGATGGAACGTCGCTAGAATTTCGGGCATCTCCCGTGTCTTTATTAAGGCAGCTCATCTATAATTCACCGGACGGCCTAGGCGGGCTGACAGTGCTGGACTCACCGGCCGCATAAACACACGGGCATCTCGTGCAGAAGCCCGGTGCACGGCCAGTGTGCGGCACGCATTGCGGTTGTCAGCTCTAGTCAACGTGTAATTTACTATCCTGTCTCGGCTCGATGCAGATGCGCCCGTTGCTCGGAACCTGGACCACCGTCTGCCAGCATGGACGTCGACGCTAACGGCCACGGGAACGCGGACATCGGCTGCACCGGTGTTGCCGTATTGCCGTTATTGCTGTCGCTAGTTACGATCCAAGTGGACGATACTGCCCAGCCAGGTACCCAGCACTCGGAACCAGGCCACCGCAAGGTTCCCATAAACTAAGCGTTACATTCCGGTTGTAGTTTCGCTATTAGTTCGCGGGAACTTTGCACCGGATTCTGCTAACGCCATCGGTATTACCTTGCGATAATATTCTAATAAAGCTGTCGGGCTCTGAACGTTTTTATGGGATACCGCTGGGACATTACGATTTTTATGGTTCACTTCCGTATTTCGGGGTCTGTTTATTA